TGCCGATTGATTTGCAGAGATGGCACAGATGTGACCTCCTCAGTCAAAGTCATTGTTTTCTTGGCCCTCACATTTTCAGAAAAATACAAATGTAAATGAAAAATAATGACAAGGACCACATATATTCCCAGAGCCATCGCCTCAACAATTATTAATGCCTACTAGGTTTCCGGCACCCTGCTAGATGTCACAATGATGGAAGAATCATCAAAACCATTATTCTGCAATACTAATAATGGTAAAGTAGCAAAATTAAAGTTTTTAGATCACAGAATTGAAAGTTGTCTTTGCTATGTATTTTCTACTTTTCAATGGAAAACTAACAGACATGACTTAAGCATGACTTGCACCATCTTTGTCTAGAATGCCTTTTACTTTATCTGCCTGGACAACCCGAATGTCTGTCACTCAGTGACAAACTGCCTCAATGGCCAGGCCCACACAGCATTTTTTTCTATGTCACTTTCTCTGTGCTTTCTATTCTCACCCACATCAATGCAATTCAGGTTAATATCGTAGGTATTTGGGTGTGTCTGAATCCCTCGCTTGGTGATCTCCTTTGACTGAGGTTCTTCTAGACTCTGGCTGTTCCTTAGATATGTTATTTAAAAATAACATATCTGGATATGTTATTTAAAAAATGCAGAAGTTTGGGCCTCCCCTGGTGGCGCAGCTGTTGAGCACTGGGCTGCGAGGCTGCCTGCAGCCTCTGCGGCACCTGTTCGTTCCTGGGCCTCCAGCGAGGGTCCCACCAAAAAAAAAAAAATGCAGAAGTTCAAATTTTAGAACAGATCCACTGAGGCTAACGCGCTTTTTTTTTCATTTTTCCTTCACAGAGGACACTGACTGACAGTGGAGACTTAGAAGCACTTGCTGTACCTGATTTGTCTGCCACCTCCAATGTCAGGCATAATGCCAGCACAAAGCAGGTGCTCAGATTGTGCTTGTGGACTGAATCAATTACTTGCATCCACTTTATTTCCCTTTGAAAGTAAATATTTACATTATCTATGACTCAAGCTCACTGAGGTCAACCAGCATGTTTTTGTAGATTCTTCTGAGGATCTCTGCATTTCTCCAACCCCACTCTTTAGTTGGTTCCAGTGCTTTAGCTGTCTGACAGGTGGAATTATTTTCTTTTAAACAGTGATTATACTAAGTTTGACAATCAATAGATTAGAAATTAAAGATAGAAAGGGTTTAGTGCCAAAATGTGACAAGGAAGTAAAGATTATGATGACCTCTCTGAATATTAATAAACATGTCCAACTTCAGAGTAGAAAAGAATCCCAATAGATTATCTATGACTGTATTCCCACTGTCAAATGGACATTCACACTTTCAGACAACATATTCAGCATAGACATGATTAGGTGTTCCCTAAATATCTTTTCCTTGTTAGAGGTGAGGATTGAAGTTTGGATGGTGGTAAGATGGTGATAAATGATCAAGGATTCAGAATGAGAGAATCTTGCCTTAACAATTGCTCCTCTTCTCCCTGGAGACAAGAAGTAGCCATACAAAGAATAATAGTAAATTACAAATCAAATCACCACAGTCTTAATGCCTGAATCAGGAGCAAATAACCTAATGAAATGTTTCATGACTCAGGCTGAAGGCTAAAGTGAGCTCCACCATCCAAACCTCAGTCCTTACCTCTAACAAAGAAAAGATATTTAAGAAACATACAGTCCATTTCTTTTCTACCATTTGAATCTAAATCTTAAGACCAGCACATTCAATTCTCACTGTGCAAAGAAAGTAGAAAAGGAAAGTGGATGGCCAGATCTACAGAAGGCCTTGGCCTAACTTACTCAGTTCTGTGCTCAAAGGAGTTGGAATAGCAAAGGTGATTTGGATCTGAATCAAGGAAACACACTCTGCTTAGGTTAACTCACCGAGAGAGCAAGAAGAAATGAAGGAAATGAGAGCATCTGTCTGACTATGGGACACAATAACACTGTGGAATAAAACACAGCCCAAAGAAAATCCTAATCTCAGACAAATAATATTAAATACTCCTGACTCCTTGATGGTGCACTTGGAAAGTCAGCAGATGTGGATCTCACATGAAAGAAATAGCCTTAAGTTATTTGTCATTTTCGCTTATCCTGTTGACTTCTCATCAAAAGGCAGCCATCCCAAGCTCCAGGTCTTCATTCTCCAATGAGCCACCCTTATAGGCTCAGATGTGTGTGTGTTACCACTGGGGCTTAGGAGCGCTACTAGCAGCTGTTGTACAGAGCCCAAGGATACTACTAAACATTCTACAGTGCACAGGACACTTCTCTACAACAAAGAATGAACCAGAAATAGCAATGATGATTAGGTTCAGAAGCCCTCAATTAGAAGGAAATGAGTGTATTAAGCATTCACTTCTTCATGCTCCCAAAAATCCATATTATTATCCCAATAATTATCTCCAGTAGTTTTAACAGAAACCAATAGATAAAAATGATAATCCCCATTTTCAGATGACAAACTGAAGCTCACAGAAACTAAGTGCCAGCTCAAGGTGATCATAAGGAAGCAGAAAGTTATCAAAACCAAGTTTCTAGTTGCCTCTAATGTTCTTTTCTCTACCGTAGAGTTCCTGGGTTGCACTATGCACTCACATCTCCCTTCATATGCCCTTGCCACAGGTATAACTCAAGTTCTCTGGAGGCAGGATCTTTTGTCAGGCCAGTCTACAACCACTTAATTTAGCTCAAAATTCTTCTCTCCTTAGTCAGACTCTGGTGCAGTGAAATTACATCCTTAGTACTTCCTAGACCAAGATACATTATGGAAGCATTGTCAGCCTTGTACTTTTAAACTCAGCAATTTATTCATCCCATTTTTTGAAGAATGTAGACTTCATTTGCATGCACTTCTGAAATGACTGATTGACAATGCAGATTACTTGGTCAAAAGGAAACAGAAAAAAATTGTTCAAAGAGAAGGCACGGATGGGTTTTTTGATAAAATAGACCCAGGTTTCATCTCATTTTTAACTTGCTTATCTCTCCTCCTTCAAGTCTTTGAAGTCCCTTCATTCAGTACCCTCAAGCCACAGGGACTTCCCTCAATTCCTCAAATGCACCATGTGTTTCTTCAGGGTTTCCACTCACGCTCTAGCTTCTTCTAGAATATACTTCCTCCTACAATTCATTTGAATATCACCTATTTTTTTGTTCAGGTTTCAAACTTGGATGTTTTTATTCATCGAGACCCTCCACAGGCTTCCTGTAATCTAAATCAGCCTATCTTCTTTCCTATCAGTTGCCACTGTTTGTGGTATATACTTGGTGGTGTTTATTAGTGAAATACCTGTCTTTTCACAAAAGGGAAAGAGTTCCATGAGGGCAAAGACTACATCGGCTTGGTTCATCAATGCTCATACCATAGCTTGTAGTTAAATATTCTTTGGGTGGGAATGTAAATTGGTGTAGCCAATATGGAGAGCAATATGGACATTTTTCAAAAAATTAAAAATAGACACACCATATGATCCAGTCACTCCATTTCTGGATATTTATCCAAAGAACACAAAAAACACTAATGTGACAAGATATATGCAACCCTGTGTTCGTTGCAGCGTTATTTTCGTTAGTCAAGGTATTAAAACAATATAGTTGTCCATGAATCGATACTAGCTAGCTATTAAAAAAACAAGATGAAATCTGGTTATTTGCAAATAACATATATGGATCTTGAAAGTATTATGTTAAGTTAAATAAATCTGATAAGAAAGAAAATTATCATATAGATTCATTCATATGTGGAATATAAAGAAACAAAGCAAACAAACAAACAAAAACTCATAGGTGCAGAAAACAGGTTCTGTTTACCACACGGGAAGGGTGGATGGAGGAGCGGTTGAAATGGGTCAAGGATGTCAAGTGGATGTTGACAGGTTAAAAACTACAATTTTGGTGGTTATACGATGGAGCATTTATAATGCAGAAATACAATGCTTACCCCCAAAGCTTAGATAATGGCATTAACCTACTGTTACCTTAATGAAAATTTATTTTACAAAAGAAAAATATTTTTGAGTGAATGAATTAATGGTATTGGTTAAGTTACTCAATCTCTAAGAGTTTAAAGTCTTTATATGTACAATGAAATATTGATTCCAGTTTCCTAGAGTTCTCATTAGAATGAAATGAGGTAACAAGTCTAATTGGTTCAGGACAATAGTTGGTGCTTCATATATATTATTCAAGACCTGAGAGTTATCTGAATTCTTTGACTCAATTACTTTCCACGTGACTTAGGATAAGTATTCTCTTTCTCTCTGTTCTTTTATTTTCTTTTATTATTAGGTCATATGCTATAAAAAACACAAAAAGCAGTTATTTCATAATTTTTCATTTGTCCAGAACTTTTGTACAGAGAAGTAAAATAGAATTTGATATTTTCAGACGTATTACACTATAATTTGTAAGCAAGATGAAGAAGGTATTTCATTCCCAGTTATGAACAGTAATGTTGATAGACAAGAAATCAAAAATATTTGCATCAAATCATATTAAGCTTAGTGGGAGAGACAAGTTCTAATGGGGTATTAGCCTCCATATTTCTTTTACCCTGACATTGCATTCCTTATTTTTGCTTCTTCTGTGTTGGGAGAATTTGATCACTCTTTTCCTTGCCACTGATTCCTGATAAAACTTTCATTTGCCCACTCATTCTTGTGATGTGTTTTTGAAAGGAAATGAATTTTTTGTTGCCTGTGATTACACTATAGCCTTTATCTCAGCCTCAGTCAGGAACAATCTATATACACATTCCTATAATTGAACACAGTGACTAATGAGTTTATAAACCAATTGATTAATGACTATAAATGCATCTTCATTCACAGTAGATAGAGGTAAATAAACGACAAAATGTGCATGGTACTGTATTATGAATTTCTCAAACCTGCTCCTCTGGTTCCTTATTTCTTATGTCCCAGAAACTTCAGAGCAGCATATATGGCCTGTCAAACTTGGGAAGCTGGCAGTGTGACAGCACTAGTCCTGGGGGTCTTCACAGAATAAGCAGTCAGGGTCCTGGTCGGCTGGAGATTCCATCTGAATAGTGAGTGAGTGCACAGTAAAGCTGTTGCTGAGGGCTTTAGCAATCTCTCTCCGAACAACCTGGCTGTCCTGGCTGGCTGCTGTTGATAAAGAACCACAGTGAGATTGGCATTGATTGCACACACTTGGGCAACTGCTAAATCTCCAGCTTTGAGTACTTTGTCTTTGACCTAGTGGTGTGGGGCATGAGCAGAGCACTCAGAAGGAACCAGGTTGGCTCTGACAATCAGCTACATTCATCAGACCAGGCAAAGGGAAATGCTGCAGCAAAGCATCCTGTCACTATGGGAACTTGCCCTGCCTGCTGTTCTCTCTAGGGTCAACTCTCCTAGGAGCTGTGTATAGAAGGAGAGAGACGCTTTGGAGATAGTCAAGGTGGAACGATCTCATATACAATCCTGCTCACCAGGCCCCAGGGACGACGGGGTTGCAGCCCTTCGATCTAATCAGAACTTATATCAAGGCCAGTGACAGGAACCAGGAAGCATTTAGAGCTCCCCACAGACCTTTCTCAGAGCAGCAGCCCTCAATGCCATCTTTTCTCTTGTCCTGAATGATAGGAAGAGGCTGTAAAGTTCCCTCTGTAGTAAACTGATTGCTTACTGGATTCTTCCACTGCAGTGAAATATAGGTGTAGTGGAGACTATAAATTCCCTGGAGCCAGATCTATGCCTCTCAGTGAAGATGAGGATGTCTGAGAAAGCACAATTCCCAAGTGACCACCACGGGCGTTCCTGTGCCCTGCCCCTAAGTAATTTCTTGAGTTACAATTTAGCAGCCTGACATCCTTGGCTTAAGCTGTCTTCTGAGGTCATGAAAGACATTGCACTAACTATTTTCCCAGCTAGCACATGTCATGGGCAAAATAACCTTTCACTTCAGGAAGAAAATTTTAGGGGAAAAAAACAAAACCTAAGAATTATTCACAAGGTTATAGAATTTGTAACCATCCAGTAAAGGAACCTCCATTTATTTCAACTAACACATCTTTTAGCCTGTTAGAACCTTCAGGATGGGACCTGTGTCTCCATCTTTCCATCTTCAGTAGCAAGCAAAGCAAAGAAGATTCTCAGGGAAGATTTATTGTTGGATTCATCCCTGTGGTTTTAGGGGTAGGGCAACAAGTCAAAACAGGTAAAGCCTAATTTCCAAATCTAAGACTTTGAAGTTCTGAACTTCCAAAGTTCAGAATCGAAGACTTTGTTCTGCCCTCTGCACTTGGCCTCAAGGGATGCCATATCACTGTTTCTATGACAACATCTAGATGTACGATAGTTTTCAAAGGTCCTTGGTAATACAAAACACTTTGCAGTTGTTTTGACAGGCAACAGACAATAAAGGCAGTTCTGCAAAAGGAGGAAAATTACTGACTTTACAGGACCAGGACTAAATTTTGTCCACAGTGTTTACAAAACTTACTGACCTGCGGCAACATGAACTGATAGGATTACTTGGTTCATTGTTAGAGACCAGATGTGCAAGCTGTGCACAGACACCACTCCATCCACCGATAAGATCAGCTCTTTCACGCCATTGTAATTCAGGCTCTTTGGCACACCTGACAAGAGGGGAGAACAGGAGGTTATTGCTACCCAGCTAACACAACCCAGTAAGACGGCTGAGTGGGGCTGCAGTCCTCAGCAAAACACCAGCTTCTCTCCTCTGTATTGATTCTTCAAATGTTTCCAAATAGGAGTCACCTGGCTATTTCAAAGGGCTTAACATCAACCAGACAAAGAGTACTGGTTGCAGAGTTTACCATGCAATAACCAACAACAGTAATCACTCTTTGATTTCGGGATTATTATTAAACCAGGGTATTATTAAGCCAATTGTGCTTTTCCCAATTATCTTCACATACACTCTGGAAAGCAAAATGAAATGACATGGGATTTGGAATTAAGTCATCTTTGGTTCACATAATGGCTGCAACTATTGCAAATTTTCCCAAATTGTAGGACTTCTCTAATCTCAGCACATTTGTAATTAAAATAGGAGTGATAAAATCACAAAGTTCTTTGAGGAGTAAATCAGAAAATATGTGTCCTTTGTAAACAGTCATGCTATACAAATGTTAGTTACCCAGTGGTCACTTAGTGAGCTGTGTTAGTAGGGGATTCTGACATTGTAACACCACCTAATTCATTGGTTTATGAAACTTCTATTATGGTAGTTACATCAGTCAGGGTTCAAAGTCTGGGTCCCAGAGTGTAATAGTTTGACTGTACTCCTTGTTTCTAAGGGAAGGTGTGGGGCACACAGGAATCAGCCCTTTTTTGGGACAGAAGGGTCTGGGGTGTCCCTAGCCTGGAAAGAGAAAGCTAAAAAAAAATAGGATCACTTTTTAGTCAAGGATTTACATACAGAAGATAAGAGGAAATGAATGTGTGAGGAAGCTTGCTTTGGTAGCTATACAGAGAGAAATCAAACCAATGGTTAGTTAGAATGATAAAAGATATCAGTTCCATATAGGAATTAAAAAAATCAACTCAACCAGCACAACAATGGGGCAGTCATTTGACATATAGGTAAATGCCTCTCATCCTAAGAAGATGCTGTAGAAGAGATTTCTAAGCATGGCTGCTTTTTTAGCCTCCACTTCAATTATATTGATATATACACAATGGAAGCACCTGGTATATTTATTAAAAATACATACACTTCAGCTCCATTCCAGTGCTCCTGAAGAAAATCTCTAATGGATGAGAATATGAAACCTATAGACTTTCAGAGTGGTTTTCCATCGTAGATGCATATTAATATCACTAGGGAGATTTTAGAAATAGTGATGACTCGATTATATCCAAAAGCAATTACATCAGAATCTGAGGCTAGGGTCGGCCTTAGTATGGCCATAATTCTATTGGTGATTTTGACCTACAGCCTGTTGAGAACAGTTGCACTATTTCCAAGTCACCAGGATACAGTGATTCTCAGGTTTGGCTGCATGTTAGGAAATATCAAAGCCTTTCCCCACCCCAGTCGATTTAATCAACATTTCTGTGTATAGAACCTGGGTTTAAACATTGCTGAAAGCTTCCCAGATGCTTGCCATGAGCAAATAGGTGAGAATCACTTGCTTAAAAGAATAGAGAATCCTCTTCCTTCCTTGTGTCAGGATTAAAAAATCTTGTTCATATGGATTTCCTCCGTGAGCCTAACTTACAATTCTCTGTAGTTGGAGTTTAGTTTAATTTCATTTCATATATCAATGTATTGTTTCATGGAGGTAACACGGTGCTGGTCAGCATGTTCTTTTATTCTATGAGCTGCAAAAGACTCCATGCTATAAGCAAATTAAAAGAGTTTTTGGCTCAGCTTAACCATCAAATGTGTGTGGGGTCATGGGTGAAATTGTTATATTACAATCACTGTAATAATAATACATCTTTATTGAGAACATACCCCATGTCTAAGTTTGTGCTAAGCACTTTATTTGTAGTGATTATTTCATTTAATAATTATAAGAACTCTATGAGTTAGTTTTCAATGCTATAATTCCTATATAATTTGGGGAGAGGACAGTGGGAGGTAGAAAGGTCGAGAAGCTTTGTAAAGACCATATAGATAAGTGGTAGAGCCGAAAATGTGGAATTCTAAAGTTCATACTCTGAGTGTGAATTGTCATGTAAAAGCTAGATTCCAAGTGTTGCAACTCAAATGCTAGATTCCAAAGGCTGCAATCTAATGTCTGTCATCATTGGGGAGTTATAATTGACCTTTAAAAGACTGTGGTCATTCATCTAGGACCCTTGAAATGAAGTCATAAACCCACTACCCTTTGCTCTCTTGCCTTGCTTATCTTTTTTTATGTAGAAGACAAGTTCATCATTACTTATTTTAGTCTAGAAAATAATGTTGACAAGCAAAGGAATATGCTTCCCCTGGCCTCAATGTTCCATCAATCTTAGAAAACATTTTTCCTGAAGAAAAGGCTGCAAAGATATTAATGCATCCAGAAAATACTCAAATTAGTGTCAAAAAGTAATTTCCCAGACATACAAATACATGCAAAAGACCACTCAATATCACTCATAATTATGGAACTACACATGGAATCAGTAATATATAGTGTACCTATCAATTAGAAAAGAATCAAAAGTTTGATGATGCCCAATGACAATGAGAATGTGAGGGTATGGGCACTGTCTTGCTTTTGTTGGGAAATAAATTGTTATGGAATCTTTGGTAGAAAGAATAATATTTGCCAAATTTTAGAATGCACATAACTTTTGAGATAGCAATACCACTTCCAGGAATTACGCCATGGATATAAGGTGCTGAAAATATATATGCACAGAATGATAATTATAGCATTGTTTGTAATGTCCATTAAGCATGTAAGCAAGTACATGGATACAGTAGAATACTTTGGAGCTATGAAAAAGAAGGGGGTGTATCTATGTATCCACTAGTATGAAAGATCTCCAAGAAAAAAAAAAAAGCAAGGTACAGAACAAAACAAGCATCAATGTAAAATCCTGTTTGTATAAAAAAAAGACATATACACATATGTTTATTTGTGGTATATTGTGTGGATGCATAGAAAGATATATAGGCATCTATTTATGGATCTACACATATTTTTTAGAAAGACATAGATCAACTTATTTATAGGTGTTACCTTTGACGAATGGGGCTGAGAATTCAAAGGCTGGAAAATGGAGAGACTTTTTCTTATCATTTTCTACTTTATTTTAAAATTTTACCAAGTACAAGTATCTTTTTATGCTAATGTAATTTGAAAACTGGGTTTAAAAATTAAGCATCTTTCAGAAATGAGTAACATTGCTGTTTCAACAACTAGCTGCACTTTTCCTTAAATAAAATAATATAGTCTTCAAAGAGAAGCTATATGGAGAGAAAAAAAATGAATACAGTCATCTCAAATTGTGTATCGATTTGTCTTTTATCCTCCCCTTTAGGTCAATAACTTCCATAATAGCAACAACAGCTGCAGCTCAGCATTTGGCCCTCAAGAAAGGAAACGGCTGCATCTGTGACTTGACAAACCAAATATCATCACCCTGAGAGCAGGAAAGTTTTCTCATTATTCAGTGATGTTGGACTCCATTTTCTGTTTTGCTGTCACCAACACTGTTATCAGCCATAGGGCCCAGCACGAACAAAGCCCTTACACATATGCCCACCAGTGACCACCAACGAAGTGTGAGCCTCCCTGTAGGCAACCGCCCCTGAGACTGTCTCCCTTGCATGCAAACATGCTGGGCGAAGAAGAAAACTTCAGCCAATGTCTGGAAACCTGGGCTCATCTGAATGTTTGCTGGGTTGCAACCCTCGAGTTCTGAGTGAATTTTCTAGGTGATGTTCCCAGTGTCCTCATCATGGAATCCCTGAAGTGGTATGAAAAGACTAGTGCAGTGGTTCTCAAAGTGTGGTCCCTGGACAGCAGGATCAGCATCTTATTAGAAATATAAATTCTCAGGTCCCACCCTAGACCTGCTGATTCAGGAACTATTAGGGTAAATTCAGCAATCTGTGTTTTAACAAATGTCCCAAGCGATTGTGATGCCACTAAAGTTTAGAAGTGCTGGACTAGTCTGACAAGGAATATAGACAAAATCCACAATAATTACAATGCTGCCAGAAGGATGCATTTATGCAGTTTTTCTTAGGTCTTTTCTATATTATTAAGGATAGATTTATATATTTTTCAAACTCTCGCTATCTTCAGTGTTTGTGTGTATTGTTTTTATACTGTGCCATATTTTTGAGTAATTACTGGAGCAAAAACAGACACCAATTCTTCTTATTTGTTCCTATAAGACTAAAATCACAGTATTTGTTTTCCTAAAAATTCCTCATATGTTCCACATTTTCTCTATAATGCAAATTAGCAATGAGTGTACCTCGAGGTTATCCCCTTTTGTGATTATAAGGAAGAGAAAACATTGATCATAATAATAATAAAATCACTCCTACCTTCCATGAATATGATGGAGAAGTCCTTTAAGATAGTGATGGTACTGGCCAAAACCAGGATGGAAAAAACAAATGTGCAAATTGGGTCAGCCATTTTATAGTCTGGCTAGAAAAGATAGGGACTTTGGTTAACTGAATTTGCATCCCCCATGCAGAAAGTCTGATTTATTGAATTAGTAAACCTCCCAGCGTCCCTGCTCCATTTCACTGAGAAACAGTTTCTTTATCTCCCCTTCACCCTCCTGATACTTGACACCCCACTCAAAGGCAAAACTTCCTGGAAACACAGTGCTGCCTTTCAGCTTTAACCTACCAGTGACTATAGCAGGGAGCCCATAGGCCATGTTCTCTCTGGAACTTAGGAAGTAAAGGAATAATATCCTTCATGGCTCTCTCAAGAGACCTGAGCTGACTTCTCTCAAATGAATAAAAGTGCAGAGTATGGAATGAAAATATGCACAAATTTGCACAAGAATCAATGATGTTTTGGCATTAATCATGACGAAAAAAAGGGCATCATCTGTTCAGAGGTTATGTTACCAAAGAAAGGGGGGTACCATGTTCCCCACCCCACTTAAAGAGCCGAGTGGCCAGGGGAAGCTGAATAACATGGAAGGCAGATGGGTTGAGGGGAGAAAAGAAAAAGGAAAAGCTCTTGTTCCTGTGGCCAAACTTGCACCCTGGTACTGGAAGGAGACACAGAAGGAGACACAGAAGGAGGAGAAACATGAAGAGACACTTGGCAAAGATACGTGAGGAGACCAACATGCGACCGTTATCTTGACCTGTACTTTGATTTTGCTCCTTGGGTCCCAGATTTTCCTGGTCGTTTTTTCCTTCTTATGCAATGAAGGTCTTTCAGGCCTGGGTAGCCCTGCTTCAGGCCAGCCCTGTTTGGCTGGGCATTTGCCCATAGGAGATGAGGTGTGTGTGTGTTATGTTGGGAAACTATTCCTTAATCTCTTCTCTGTCTATGCATACTAATTCTTTACAATTCTTTCACACTAAGAATCTGCTTTAATCTTTGTGTGTGCAAATGGTGGGGCCCCTTAGAGTATGCAAGTGTGGGGGTACAAGAGGGTCCCCCTTGTTCTCATCTAACAGTTGCATAGAACCAAGGCCTGGATGGACTTTGGTCTTGGTACATGGAATTAGCTTTTTTCTTTTCCTCCAAGTGTGACACATTCATAAGACAGACAACTTTGATGAAATCCTGAGTATAAACTGAGGCCTCATACTTGCTTTTTTTCTCCTCCACCCCAACTGAAGCGTTTAACTTTAGGGTGAAACACTTGCTATTCTGCCCTTGGTGGATGTTTTTGGCATAGAGAAGTCCATGCCTGACTGCCTCTAATAAATCTACTTCTTGCTTATATTTTATATATATATATGGCAGAAATAAGACATCAAACCAACATTTGTAAGTGTATTCTCAAGCTCCACTAACCCTTACAATTTTGAACTCTGTTGACTTAAATTTTTCAGTGGGTATCTTGTCCAATTGAATTTGGACGTCTTTGAAAATTTTATTTGTAAGTTTTCATTTTTCAGTGATGTAATAAAGATTTCCTGCTAACTGGACAATCACGGTATAAACAGCCAGAGATGAATTCTCTTCTCCATTAATCCCCAATCTTCAACTGAACCTACCTCTGTAAGTTCTTAGTATAACCAAATAAAAATCTATAGTAAATATGGCCAGAGGAGGTTCACCCGGAATATATTCCCACTTTCCATTATCACCCTGGCATTTGGAGAAGTTACCTCCTGCTCCAGCTCCAGCCCCCATTTGTGGATGATATAGTTACTCTACCCTTCCCCAGCGAAGCAGTAGGTCGGTTAGACTCTCTTTCCCAGAAATACGAATTTTCAGCAGAGTGAAAAGAATAGAGAAAAAAATCAGTAGGATTACATTCATTTCAGTATGGTGCCTGGGACAGAAGGTGGATAGTTTTTCTGAAATCTACATTCCAAAAGGTGTCGTTATTTCCAACCCTGACTCTGTCCAAGGATACCTCCAGTAAATTTCAGGCAATATATCTACTTCTCGCTTAAAGTGAACTAGAGATCTCTTTGTTATTTACAACCCAAGAACTTTAAGTTATTTCTGATTCCATTGCTGTCCATCTTGACACCATGACAAAAAGAACTGCTTTTTTGAAAGAATGGCAGCTCTGCAACTAAAGACAGAGTTTGCAGGAATTTGGAGACTCTAAGGTTTCAAGCACTGAGTGATTATTTAAACTTTGCAAAGTAGTTTATATAGGCAGACAGAGTCTGTCCACCCTCATTTAAGTTAATATTGGAGAGTCAGCTTATATACTATCTAATCTATAAAATTGTGGTGTGGGGAAAATAAACACACTTACCTTAAAGTAGATAATAAGCGCACTGGTCAGCACACTGATGCTCTGAATTAGGTCCCCAAGGGCATGCACAAAAGCTGCTCTCACACTGGCATTCGCTTGCACTTCCTTGTGAGTGTGGCCTGAGTGTCTCTGGTGCAAAATCACACTCAGTCTGAAAAAGAGAACAAGGTCCTTGGTAGACCTGAGATGAATTCTTAAAAACATAAGCAAGAATGGAGGAGTTGACAAAAGCACCTCAAATGGCCCCAGAATGCCACACAGTTGAAATGCCAATGCTTTAAAAGGTGCTACTTTGGATGAATTTCTAACACAAGATTTTTAATTTCAAAATCATAAAATTTAAATTTTTTTCATAATATCCAAAATTTTTGTCATAAAATTAAATTTTTTTCACCTCGGGACAGGCAACAAAGATTCACTTCAGTTTTTTCATTCATCTACCTAACACTACTGTTTCATGTTAAAACTGGGAAGTATCACTTCTTAAAGGAGAAACAAGGATTTAATAAAAAGGATGGGAAATAACATCTTTTGGGATATACTATCAGCCACTGTACTAGGCTTCACGAAGTGAACTTCATCAAGATTGGCTTTTTTAATTTTTCATTTTCTTTCATTTTATTCATTTCCATGAGAATGTGAAATCTGCATAATTCATAATTTCCTAAGGGCCACAGAGAGTGCTGTACTTATGTGTATGTAGCTATTTATCAAGAGAGTCGAATATATTAATGTATTATAAATATTTAAATATCTTGGAACAGACATTAAGGGAAAAAGTTATTGTTTAATATCACGCTTCCCAGTCTATTTGCAAGTAAAGAGTATGCTAAATCTCTGATCCTCACCACAAAGTGGATGACTGCTACCCACCAAGATTTGATCATTACAGAATGTAAAATTTTCAGGTGAACACTATTTTGCTATAAATTAATTTTCAGTTAAGAGTTTAAGTTTCATTAGAGAGCCTGGTCTGGCTGGCAGTTAAGAGACTCTCTAGATCTGTCATGCACGCACATCACATTGTCATTCATCTTTATACTCATTTCATTAAAAAAAAGAAAACTTACTTAGGGACTCTTGTAGGCAAAGCGCTGTTAAATGCTTGTAGCATAAGAGTGAGTGAAAACAGACATGACCCCTCTCCTGTGTGACTTTAAGTGTGATGGAGAAGGCAGAGGTTTAAAACACACACACATAAGTGGAAAATTCAAATTCTAACGTTTTGTAAGAACTGGTGCTATGGGATAGGGCAACAGAGGAGCCTTATTTAGTTAGACAAAGCAATTGAGCTGGATTTGAAAAGTTAGGTTAAAGTTAATAAAAGGGCTAAGAGAGGAGGAATATTTCAGATAAAGAAAACTGAGCATGTAAAAGCCTCAAGGCGGGCCTCTTTCATGGCACAAGGGGTTAAGACGCAACCTGGAAGCTCACTACAGCCACTGCAGCATGAGTTCGATTCCTGGCCAGGGAGCTACCCATGTGGCACAGCAGACCTCTCCTGACTCACATGCTGCTCCCCTCAGCAGTGTATTTCAGTCCATCTGCCTGTTCTGTTCCCCCACTCTGCCTCTGGTGAATCCTCTCACCCCCCACAACTCTTGCCTGTACCCCAGTTCTTGTATGTATAAATAAATAAATTTTTAAAATAAATGAATGAATGAATGCCTTAAGGCTATGGCAATAATTTTTATTCTAGAATCCTTTTGCAACTTCTATTAGAATTTGCCTCCTGATTTTTTGGGTCCCCAAGGAATAGATTTATTCCCAAGTTACTGCTCTGATATTCCTATATTCAGATCAGACAGCATGTAGTAGCAGTTGAAACCTGTAATACAGGTTCCGGGAGAAAATATTGTACTTAGTATTTTTATCCATAAATTACTACCTACTTGCATGGAAAAGTCAATGCTTTTCAATTCCCTTGTCCTTTTAAGTATTAAAAATACCTGCAATTCAGGTCAAAGTTCATAAGCAGTTGCAGTAAAAAGCAAATTTGGACGGTATCTCTTTAGAAAGTCAGACTCAATCATTGAGGTCCCAGATTTATGTGGTAGTTATCTAGGAGTTTCCTTCATCTTCATGAGGCATGGGCACACCTATGAGACTTAAGACTCTGGAGAAACCCTTCATATTTCTACTCATCCTGCTGCCTTGTGGACTTATTGTTCTCATGCAAAGAAGATGCTCTTGACCCCAGTTTGCAGCAGCGAGAGCTCTGGCTATTCATCTCCTTGTGATGATAGATTCACATTGATCTGCCCCCATTTCTTTCTCTCGGTGCCAACGTGAAACGCATTTTCAAGTTAACCATTGGAAGCAAGAACCAAGTCAGAGATAGCAAATACCACTCCTCCAATGTGTTTAGCTCAGAGACTTTGAGCAATCAGTGACAGAGAAGTGGGAAAAATGGAGCAGGTATCAGGTATAGGGTGTAAGAATGACCGATGGAGATTTTTCAAAGGGGACATGCTCAGATTTCTCTCTTAATTCCAGAGGTCCCACTGTGCCCTTTTAAAAATCAAGTCTTAATGGTCTCCCTGACGGCGCAGCATGAGTTCAATCCCTGGCCAGGGAGCAAACCCACATGGTGCGGCAGACTTCTCCTGTCTCGCCTGCTGCTCCCCTCGGCAGTGTATTTCAGTAGATCTGCCTGTTCTGCTCCCCACTCTGTGTCTGGTGAATCCTCTCACCCCCCACACCTCTGGCTTAGACCCCAGTTCTTTTATGCCTAAATAAATAAAATAAATCTTTACAAAAAATAAAAAGCAAGGCTTATAATGTCATTATTCTCTCTCTTCCTTCTTCACCTTTTAGTATAAGCCTGCCTCATAGCATGTATCATGGTGCATTGTAAGATGGATGGATGATAGAGAGCATGAATTTCCTGTTGCTGCTATAATAAATTACCACAGAATCTTCGTGGCTTCGAACAACATAAATTTATTTCTTAAGTTTCTAGAATTCAGAAGTCTAAATTGTGTCTGCAGTACTGCATTCTCTCTGAAGGCCTTAGGGGAGAATTTATTTCCTTACCTTATCCATCTTCCAGAAGTTACTTACATTCCTTGTCTCCTTGCTTCCAGGCTCACTCCTCCATCTTTAAGGTCCGCAGTGTAGCATCTGTACTCATCGTTGACTTCATGACTCTCTTTTTAGGACCCTTGTGGTTGCATTTCACTTACCTAGATACTCCAGAATAATCTCCCTATCTCAACAGTCCCCCTTGACTTAATCGTATTTGCAAAGTTCATTTTTCATGTATATTAATATATTCAGCAGTTCCAAGGATTAGAATGTGGTGATCTTGGAGGAGCCATTATTCAGTCTACCACAGGTAAGAGAGAGAAAGAAGTACATAGACAGATAGATACACGATAGAGTTTTAAAGGACAGTTGCCCAGAATCAGTCTGTCAAATGGGAAGGAGCCAATCAACCCTAAGATATCAAAGCCCTGGCTTCAAAACTCAACTTTCACAGACAGCTAAGCAGCTTATTTGGGAAAGAAAAGTCCAGTATGGCAATGATTACATGTCCAATAAGACGCAATCACTCATAAGGTGGTTTACAGATCATCTGAACAAGAGAATGGAGCAATGGGTGGGAATAGCTCAAAGAGAAATTTTCAATAACACAGGAAGACTTTGTATCACTCAATGATACAAAGATAAGATAAATTGCTTTAAAGGAAATGACTTTCGTTATTGGTTCTGGGAAAATATATAAAAATAATGACCATTCTATGGGGATGTTGAAAAGGAAACGTCAAACATAGAAAGGAGACCAAAGTATACAGGTTTAAGTTCCCTTCAGGGCCAGTTCCCTGGGAACTCATGATCTGTTCATGAGACAACAATTGAGCAGGAGTAGGTCACATCCCATGTGGAATGATCGAGATGCATGACAGAAGAATGTCCAGCAGCTAAACTGTGGATCTGGTGGATCTAGATAAACAACCTGGTTCTACACTAATTGTCAATTTACATAATCTCTCTGACCTTCAATTTGCTAATCTGTAAAGTCGCGTTGTGAACATTAACCTTGATAATATATATCATTTTCTAGCATTGTCTCTGATAGATAGGAGACATTCAAAATGAGAACTATTTGAAGGTGACATTAAAACACTCTTCCCAGCTTAAACTAGCACGACCAGCCTTATTTTCATTCTTAGGAGCCCTTTGAGTACCCTGACACATGGCTAGCCTCTTCACAAGTGGAAGGATTAAAAACAAAAAGTCCACAAATCTCTTGTACAGACAGGATTAAAGATAAGCCCCTTGGGTAGTTTCAGGGGTGACTTACATGATATTGGCCAGCACCGCGCAACCCGACACGATGATCATCACCGTCGCCTGGATCTGGTAATTGGGGTGCAGCAGGCGTTCACACGCCAGGTACACCAACACACCAGTCACCACCCAAACGCACAGGACGGACAGCAGGGCACCAAGGATCTCTAGAGAGTCAAGCACACAGATACCCGCACACAAGGAATTCATGAATCACCTTTACCCCCCAGAGTCATAGCACATTAATATTGCTTCCCCAGATTAGAAAAAAAAAAAAAAGAGGCTAGAAACTGGTTTACTCAGTGATTTACAAAGCAAATGTATGGATGGATTTTAGCACTAAGATGAGACCTTTAATGTTGCATTCACAAAACATCAGTCTCTGAGTTCATTATGCTCCATATTACTAATTTTTAGCAAATTTTTAAAGCTTAGTAATTGCTGCCTCCCCTTGCTGTTTTCCTTGGAATTTTAATTTAAACAGGTGTTAAAATGATTGAAACTTATTAGGAGATGAAATAACGAGACACAAAGTAAAATGTGTTTAGCAACTCTTAATTTCACCATAAAACATTTGCAACTTGCCTGTATCAGTACCTTCTGTGGAATAAGATAGTAAAAGAAGACTTCAAATGGTGCTTGATAAAAATGGGTCTCATTTGCCAATCCAATATTATAAACACACAGGCAAGCTCAGAGGAATAGCAACCCTCTAGCTAAATTTGAAGAGCAACAAGAGAAAGCAGTATCAGTATGGAGACACTTGTATTAATATTTAAAGGTAAGATAGTGTTCAATCTGCCCATTGAGCAGAGTATATTCACTCAATTAGGAGTTCCTTGATACCTCACTCTCATCTTGAAATTAACTTTGTTGGTAGATTCCAAGGGTTGATGGCACATCCCATAGTATTGACCTTCCCTTCCTTAAAGCTGAGCTACGTAAGGTGTTTTGTTCTCAGTGTGTAGCTATTATTTCCCAGACTTCAGCTATTTCCATTCAACCTTCATAGTTTTTGCTTTATCCACATACCATTTATCTTAAAAGCCAATTCACTTTTCACACGTAGCTTCTTCCTAAATAGCGTTTTTAATGAGGCTGTGTGTCTGATGTGCTAACTGATTTTCTAGTACATATTAGGATATGTCATTATTGTCCATGTGACACAGTATCATCTGACTTACAGCCCTGGCACATTTCACTGTGGGAAACAGTGGGAGATGTTTAGGCCATGAATTCCAGTTTCAGACACATAAAGTCTGCCAGTTACTGGCCATGTGATTTTAGACAAGTAACTTAACCTGCTTGAGGCTGTTTCCTTGTCTGTAAAGTAAGTATAATAAACAGTACATCTAACAGGTGGCATCTGTTATAGGTTGAGCTGTGTGCCCCCCAAATTCATATATTGAAGTTCAAACCCTTAATGCCTCAATGATGACCCTATTTGGAAATAGGATTGTCTTAACTAATATATTTTTTTAAGATAAAATGAAGTCATAATGGAGTAGGATGGGGGCCTCCCTGGTGGCGCAGCAGTTGAGCGCTGGGTTGCGAAGCTGCCCGCGGCCTCTGCAGCGCCGGTTCAATCCCCAGCCGCTGGGTGAAGGTCCCACATGGCGCGCAGACCTCTCCTGCCGCCCGCTGCTCCCCTCAGCAGAGTACTTCATCACTCTGCCTGTTCTGCTCCCCGCTCTGGCTCTGGTGAATTCTCTCACCCTCCCGCGCCTCTGATTGTACCCAATGCTTGTAAAAATAAATAAATAAATCTTAAAAAAAAAAAAAATGGAGTAGGATGGGTCCATAATCAGACCTGCATGCAGGAGGATAACAGGAGAAGATGAAAGCAAGTCAAGAAATGCCTAAGACAGGCAGCTAACCACCAGCAGGTAGGAGAGAGCTGTGGAAGTGATTTCTTCCACTGTGGGAGTGTTCACAGACCTCACAAGAGACCAAACGTTACCTTGAACTTGTTTTTCAATCTTCTGAAACTCAGAGACAATAAGTTTCTGTTGTTTAAGCCCCCAAGTTTCTATCATTTTGCTATAGAATATGTAGGAAACTAATAGCATAGGCAGCAAATCCACCTTGGAATGTTTATTCTTTTATCAGTCTAGCTAGGCTATTTAAAACCTCTCTTTGCAGAATATTTAGAGGATTAGGTCCAAGAATTTCCAGTTAGCCAGAAAAAGAGATTGGGTTTGTAGTTTCCTCCCCATGAGAGTCCAGGTCAGGGTATGCAGGTCCAAATCTAGACCTGTGGCTAGGAGGGATGGCAAGACTGGAGTTAGAAGGGGAAAACCCAAACACCACACCCTAAAGTCAGGTGTAGGCACTAACATAGAACAAAAGACAGTCAAGAATTGAAAAGTAACCACTTAAAAAAGAGGCCACTGATAATGGCTATCAGGACTGCTCAGAAAACTGTTATTAGAGCAGTTGTTAACCAACCAGCCTCCCCTACGTGTACACAGCAGTGCTGCCCAAGATGGGAGCCACCAATGGCATGTGACTATTTCAATTTAAATTAAGAAAAACAGAAAGCTCCGTTTTTCAGTAACACTAGCCACAATTAAAGTGCACAGCTGACACATTATACTCTCCATTATAGAACATTTCCCCCAAAGTCAAGTCCTGTTGGGAAGCCGATGCTCATAAACTCCCATGGCCAGCATGAGAGAGTACAGGCAGTGTTCCAACAGAATGAGAGAGTCCAGGCAGTTTTCCAAATTCTCAGCCCTCCCTATGTTTATAAAACATCCCATGTTTATGAAACTACGTTGGCCAATGGCACCAGAAAGGGCAAAGCATGTGTGAAAATTTGTATGGTGAAATGATGGCTGCTCTCAGCCAAAGGTACATGTTTTTCAACTATAGATTTGAAAGCACTTCAGCTCACATTGTCACAAATTCTTTCTACTGATGTTTATTGCCTCATCTCTCTCTCTAAGCATTGAAATAAAGATGATTCAAACCAGCCACAAAATGAACTGTTTGGTATAAAATTAAAACTTCCTATCCTTCTAAGTTTGAAAACCCAAGTCCACAATTGTCAACCTATGTGTTATGGTCTGTGTCTAGTTGTGCCTTTAGCTGAAGGCTGACTATGTGAGCATGTGCCACCCCTGTTTGCCCTCTCACCCAATGTGAAAACATGGAGTTGTGACTATTTGTTCACATTTACACAAGGAGAAGTGGCATTGCAATGTGTGCGTTGGTGTGACACTGGTAGAAATAAACCAAAGTAAACATTTGTCAGCAAAGAGACCCTCATCATGATCGGGGTCAAGCAATAGCCAAGCAAGGATGAGCAATGACTCAGTAAAAGACCCAGTTCTAAGAAAAGAGAAAAAGTAAAATTTCATTCCCTTCTGTTTTTGTGGTTGTTGATGATTGATTGAGCAAGATGTTCGGCTGAACCATTCACTGAATGGTTAGCGCTGTGTGTGAGCAAGCAAGCTTATATTCTATTCCCAACACTCCTCTGAGAAGTTCTCCAATCTCGCCAACTATCTTAGGCTCTCTGTTTATTTTGCAAATTGGCACAAGCTTACCTAACCATTTACTCTCCCAGATACAGAGCAATTTAATGAATCTCATGGCTGTTACTATAAGCTGAGATGCTCAGGTTGGGATGGTTGTTAAAGTGATGTGCGTGTGCTTGTCCCTAGTAGAGGAAGTACCACTAATCTGGCTGTTCACTGAATTAATACTGAGCACACACCTTCCCACAATCTCGTCTATTCTATCCCATGCACCAGAGATGTGCCACTAAGGAATTTTTGAACAAGGCTTTGCTTTGTTCCTTGCATATTTAATCTTCGTTTGACTTTGCAGCTCTATTCTGCTGTGAATGTTCAATTGGTGGGTTGTACCTGCTCGGTGCCATCCAAAGGTCAGCTGCTTGGAAGGGCGCTTTGAAGACAGCCACAAGGAGAAGAGACTGAGCAGGAAACTTGTCAGGTCAATTAAGAGGTGGGCAGCATCTGTGACAACAGCAAGACTCCCAGCAATATGCCCACCTGGGGGGTGCAGAATATTACAGGGGGTTAAGGAAATCCAGCGCGCAGTTAGAGTCATATACATTCTAAATGCACTTGATGAGGCTGTCCCAGACTCATAAAACTGTAGAAGAGAAAGTGTCTCAGTGTTGATTCAATCTACTTCTTCTTCCCAACTTGACAGTAAATTGAGACCCAGATAGTGGATAACATTGAAACATATAGAAAATGAATTTCAAGGGACAGGTCATTTTTAGGAAGCAAAATATAGAGCAAAATATAGAAAATATGGGGCACACTTGGAGATCATCCTGGTTAAACTGGGGCATAAGGACTGAAAAGAGGTAAAACAAGTAGAAGAGACTGGAGAGCTACAGGCCAGGTTTTAGGACTCCCGTGTGCCAGGTTGAGGACCTGGACTTTGCCTGTAAACAAGGTGTGGCAATCTGGTCCACTGTTTGATTTTGACTTTCCATTTTACCACATTCTTTAGCACTTCCATCTGCTCTGCTCATTTCTAGGATCCTCCTGAGCATGAGATCTCTGTTATGAATAGTGGGGCACAGCAAGGCCAGGGGAGGTGCCTTCCAAAGGGATTATTGCATGCACTAATCCAGTGCCACCTAGGATGAGAACTCAAGTCATGCCAGTTCCATCTTAGTATTTTTCACCATTTTTTTGGTCCCCTTGCTCCCATCTGGTTCTCCTTTGAGAAAACACCTCTAGTCTGCAAAATAGAAACCAAAGGAAAACCTTGTTTTTCTTCCCGTACACGGTTTGTTGTTCGGGAGAAATAACCTTTATTGCTCTTACTACATCTTCTCAGCAAGAGCTATCTGACTGATTGGTCCTCCCAGCAACGGTTTATTGCCTTGTGTACTACAAAGCAAAGGAGACTGTCAGTCATCAGCCCTCCATCATCAGACTCACCTTGTCTTGACTAATGATTAAAAAAAATTACATATATGTCTCATAATTGCAATAATCCCCACAGACTGCTGGCTCTAGCTGTAGTTAATAACCGGTTTGTCAAAGTTTAATGGTCTGAAGCAAAGTAGTCCTCGAGCTTGTTACTGAGCTGTCAGTGCAAAAATCGGAATGATTCATTAGCCAAAAAGCAACATTTTGCTAACAAATCAGCTGTCCTTCCAATTATCCTCTAATGTTCCTCTAACTGCCAAACTTGGGTCTGATAATAAAGCTGTGTTAATAATGCATTATTTCTTGCCCAGAGAATGACTACATGCAGATAAGCAGTGCTCACAACCTCAGCAGTAAATGATGGTGATGATTCTATGAGTTGGGCTAAAACTGTAGCTTAAATCAAGGAAATAAAACCTTACAGAATTTCTTCAGCAAGCTCAGCTGAGTCAGGAGGAAACTGAGAAAGACAAAGGGGCTGGCTTCGTAGGAAGCATGTTAATATGGAGCCTGGGAACCGAGAACCATATCGCAACCATCAGAGCTGCTTACGAGATCAGTCCAGAACACTATGGGCAATCATGCCGAATCCCATGGAGCAAACTATTTGCCAGAAGCAGTTGGCACCTGAACATGCATTTGCTTCTAAGAACATGGGGTACTATTGACAATTAATTCAATCATCTAGTCAGTATTTACTGTGCCCTTACTGTGAACAGCACCAGGACAGAGTAAACAAAGATAAACAAAGTTAAATAGATCACAGTACCTCTCTTCAATGGTCTCATTGTCTAATGTCCATGGCAACAAAGAGATGCAACACAGGTTAGGGGATCAGAAAGTCATTCTCAGGGGGAGCATTGAAGAACTCTTACCGAAGAGAGGGTAAAAACTAATTAGAGTGAAGTGGTTTTGTTAGGGGGAAAAGGATGTCCCAAAGCTATTTCCATATATGCTTTGTGGACTCCACCCCCACCCCAGGTCAAAGCCAAAGACACTGGGAACTCCAAATCTCATCACCACCAAAGGGAAGGTGGCTGGGACCTGAGGGTGGGGTTCAGCAGCCAGGTGGATAGAAAAGGCAGACACGTGGGCTTTGGGGGACCCATTTTTGGGCTCTCCACCAGCTCGCAGCGTCCGGGCAGCTCTGAGAGTGACTTTGGGTTTCCAGGTCGTCGGATCGGGTAGGACGCATTAAAGACTTTATTTCCCTATTTTCTCCCTGAGTTGTACATTTTCCTTATTACCTTTCCTCTTGTAAATAAACCTTTTATTAACCTTTTTGTGTGTGTCTGTAGTAGAGTACTCATAAGTCCCTTTAAAGCGCACGGGTGAGGACCCACAGCCAGGAACCTGTTTAATATCGGGGTTGCTCTATAACAGTTTTACTTTTTTCCAAGAAAAGATATAAGCAGGAACAAAAAAAGAGAAATGAAAGACCATAGCTCCTTGGTGGAAGAGCAGGAGGTATGGAATGTTTGGAGGAATAATAGGAATGAGGTTAGATGGGTGGGTGGAGCAGACTCTTGCACGCCACGCTAAAGAATTAGAGTGTTATCCTATGAGTGTAGGGAATCTTGATGATTTAGAGGCAAGGTTGTGACATGTTCAGATCAGTATGAAGGGTGAGGTCTTTGCCAGTATTATGGAGGCAACTTGAAAGCAGGAGAAGCTGGAGGCTAAGACACAAATAGCTTTACTTCGCAGTAATGGCAAAGGAGATTGCATTCCAGGCATGAAGGAAGGCAGTAGCAGTTGTATTTCTGAATTACTTGGCAAGGTCTAAAGCACAATGCATTTGTAACAAGTAGGATGGTGTGTGAAGAACTGAGTCCTGGAAACAACTCTACTTGGTGCCTGTGGGGCAAAAATGACAATAGGAAAGCCCAGGAGCCAGTGGACCAGGGTCGCATATTCGTGTCAAGTGTAGGTACTTTAAGGTACAATGATTGTTTTGCGTAGAATGAATACACAGCTAAAACAAAGGAGTCTTGTAGGGAAGTAGTAAAAAAAAAAAAAAAAATTCAAGCATATCTAGTGGCCAGATGGTAGCATGACTGGAAAGCCAAAATAAGAATTTTTCATTTTGTCCAGGAATCCAGAGCTTCTCAATATATTAATCTCTACTCACTTGGGGCAACCTACAGGACCAATCACAGAGGAAGACCCTGACCAGTCTCTTCCTATTATTAGCATCCTTGTCAGCTTACCCCAAAGCTCAGTAAAATGTCCTCTGCTTGCCATGATGGGGGAAATGTTGTGAATTAGGCAAAGGGGAGCTATTGAAGAATTTTGAAGACAAAATTAACATGACGAGAGTAATGTTTTAGGAAAATCAGTTCGCTACCAAAGAAGTTAAAATCCCAAGTGATTATCTGTCAATAGCCACCTAATTCCATTACTGACAATACCACCTTTAGAACTCATAGGCAATAATTATTAGGAATGAGAAGTAAAAGAGTTTGATTTGCTCAATCAAAGTGAATAGTTTCCCATTTCACTTCTAAGACTATATCATTTGAAAAGCAAAATGACTTACCCTGGCCCTAGAAATTATGTGATATCACTTATTTTTTAAAGCTTTGACTAGATGGTAATAACCATCTAGTAATAACCATCAAATTACCAGCACTGAATTTGCCTTGGAAAGGATAAATTTAAGTACTTCTCTAGTTTGTAAAAGCTATGAAAATCTGATATATAGGCTTCTAGAGTCTATAGCTTGAAGAAACAAATTAATTTGATTAATAGCTGTCAAAGTAATAATAATAACAATAAAAATAGCTTAGCATATTCTGTTTTTTTCTAGACTCAGATTATTTTAATTTTAGCCCTCTTTGGGGGCAATAAATAGAAAATGAAGTCAAAATATTGGTAACATTGTAATGGGTAACATTGGGAGCTATTGTAAATAATACTGCAATAAACAGAGTTGCAGGTTTCCTTTCAAATTAGTGTATTTTGTGTTCTTTGGGTCGATTTCTAGAAGGAGAATAGTAGGGTCATATGGCAGATCCATTTCTAGTGTTTTGAGGAACCGACAGAGATAAATCTTGAAAGCTGACCTTAGATATGAGGTAAGCAGGAGGGGGAAGGAGGAGAAGTGGGGTTGGGAGGGGTGAAATGTGGGAGAGGGTCAGGGAAGGGCACAGGGAATATGGTGATGGACTATGGTGCTTTTGTGGTGGAAGAACTGCAATGACCACAGCTGAGGGGAAAAATTATATAGTGTCCCAAAATTAACAAGAACAATGTAAGAAAAAGTACCAGATTTAAATTTTTTTAATGATAATAATAAATGGCTCTGTCTGTATTAAAACAAATACATAAACTAATATACCAAAACTTTGAAATGAGAGATGTAGACTATTTTGTTAAAAGGAGAGATACCATATTCGTAGGGTGGGTGTGGGGGAAGAACTGAGTATTTTAAAGACCTTTGTGTTCCCAAATTAAATTATATTCTAATAAAATCAAAATTATATTTTTGATAGAACTGGACAAAATGATTCTCATGCTTAATTACAATGGTAAATAGGAAAGAATAGCCTTGCCTTTCTCCAGTTAAATGAAGAATAATGAGGAAAGAACAGCAGCTATCGTAACATATAAATTTACATTAATTAAATATATTATTGCTGACAGAAAGCATTTCAGTCTATCTGCCTGTTCTGCTCCCCACTCTGTCTCTGGTGAATCCTTTCACCTCCCACACCTCTGGCCTGTACCCCAGTCCTTATATGCATAAAATAAGTAAATTTTTAAAAAGTTTCTGAAATCTATTTGATGGTATGGCCAATAGCATTAAGCATGTTGCAAAAAAAAAACAAACTGTGAGAGATGAAGAGAAATAAAAAGTGTCCAACAATACTTCATGATGTCATTGGAGGTGATGACTCAAATGTGTGCTAGTGACTAATAATTTTATTTTGCTTCCATTTTCAAACTTATCTACAATGACCGTGGTTTTATTTTATTCTTACAGAAAATATTAAATCTTACTTTCAAAGAAGAACCTAAGCAATGTTTCTGTGATGATGCAAGGTTTTGTCAATTGTTCAGTCAGAGAAGTTTCTTGAGACTCACCCACGACCTCCGCGACCATGAACACGAAGCACACCGCGGAGGCTGCGCAGAGCTTCCACTTGGCGCGGTTTTGCTCGTTGGCCCTCCTGTCCGTGGCCTTGGAGTCGCGATGGCAGTGATAGATGGCTCCTGACTCCAGCTCCTCTGGCATCTCTCCAGGACATTGATCTTTACTGGAGGGTTTCTGCTGGAGTTCTACACTACAGATGAGTTTGACAGAAGCAAGAAGTGAACCTGGCTGCAAACACACACCGCAGTGGCAGCCCTACCCATTCTAGAAACCACTATTGGGACGTTTGCTAACTAGCTAGGAAGTTATTATTCACAGCTCCTTCCACAGAAATAACAAGTGTAAGGAACAAGCATGAAATTTCTTTCTGGATTCTCAGCTCCCCAAAGTTTTGCTTGTATTCCGTCAAGTTCTTATTCAGTCTATAGCACCAGTGACTGGAGAGCTATCAAAGAAAAAGGGAGAGGAGACACATACACTTTCCTTCCCTAATGTTTCACTTAGAAAAGATTTTGGACAAATCTTTTTGTGCTACAGATTAAAAGGGGAGGGGAGTGTTAGATATGTTTATATGTGCCAGTCTGGTTACTTCTTATTGCACACAACATTATTAATAGATCATAGTGCTTTTTCTTGCTAAGTCAGTACAGACCCACAGAAATCTTCCTAGCACAGCTTGGCAGATTATCTCTAGCAATCATGCAAAATTATGAGTTGAAACTTATACTTCCTAGAGCAGAGCGTGAAGATCAGTTCTGCTGAAATACAAAGGATTATAGAGAAAGATTTATAAGATTATGGAATGTCACAGGTGGAAAGATTATAGATAACATTTAGTCCAGCCTCATAGTTTCTCAGCTGAAGTAGTCAAAAGTCCCAGTGATAAGTTATTCCCTGAGGTCAAATAGCTAAAAAAATAACTAAGCTGGGATGTCAAACCTAAAGGTTTTTCCTTTATGTGAGTACTGTCTCCCTGCCTGAACATCAGTCGGTATACCCAACACCACGCTTTCCTGATGCAAATGTCAAAGCCCACAATCCTGAACTAATCAGATTTTTTATTTTTAAATAAGCAGTAAAGAAGGCATTAATTAGATTCTTAGAATTAGGTACTTTGCACTCATGGCTTTGAAAGGTATAAAAGGAAATGAATTAGCTTTCACCAGAAGAGTTATTTCATCTGTCTCATCAGCAGCCAGAATGAAAGATGGATGGCTTTGGCTTACATGATGATTATTAATATGACTCTAATTATCATTATCTTTGGGTTTTCTGAATAAAATAACATATTTCTTATAGAAAACCTAGCATTACAGAAAAGTATAAAAAAGGAGAAAACCACTTGTAAACTTACCTGCCGTGACATCTTTCATTGATATTTTATTGTCTCATTTCACAATATAAGGATACCAGTTAGAATTTGGGCGGGGGTCTTTCTATTGCAAATAAAAAAAAAAAACCTCATGCTTGATGAATTAATAATGGAATGTTACTGGTAGGATTATTGGGCTGTCAAAAAAGCCATAATGCATTTTTGCTTGAAAAACACAGAAAAAATATGTCATGGCTTTTCTGACAACCCGATATTTGTTCTGTAACTGACAGTTTGTAGAGGTATCAGTCTTCAGGCTGATTTATCAGAGCTTCAGATCTGTTGCTTCGAGGTTCTCAGTATGCCTCAACCTCAGACTGGTTTCCTCATGGCAGTGAATTGGTTGCCTGATATAATCAGGTTTAGATATTGCTTTTTCTTAAGCAGGAAGAGAGAGTGTCTCTATACCCTCATGATAAACAAGGTTCCTTGGGGAGCACACTGATTTGGTCAGTGGGAGCTACCCTCTGTAGTCTCAGGGATATGAATGGGCTAAGTAGATTAGACCTTGTTTCAATCAGAAGATTGGCTAAACCCACCGTGCTGACTCCTAAAGTGAGGAAGAGGCTACTGCATAGCTCAGAAGGAAAGGCCTGGAATGGATTGTGGCTGAAATGACAGCATCAGGACTTTACCAAAGATACAACTTTGGGAACTGAGACTTAGCTATGTAGTTTGTTAACTTTTTCTGTTTATTGAATCTCCTATTTCATTACTTTTGACATACAGGGAGCATTTATTCAACATAGTCAATACAGATATGTCATAACTTAATAAACTGATTTCCTATTACTGGACAATTCATTCTTTCCCAATTATTTGTTCTTAAATACCTAAACACTGCTATGATTTATCTCCTTATAGTTAGTCTTTGTTCAATATATTATCTACTTAATATGTAGTCCTAAACGGAAAATTACTAGGTCAAAGTATATCTACATGTTTAAGAATTTTGAGGTATCTTGCCAAATTGCCTTTGGGGTATTTGTACCATGATGTTAATAAACTCAGGATTTTGAACCATTTCCAATGACCTTCTTTGTTAGAATAAGCTATTTGGCAATAAGCAAGGAGAGTAAATTTACTTTTAAATATTGCTTCTCTGTCTTGGACTCTAAGATTAACCAGTATATCTAGATCTATATCCATATCTATATCTAAAGTGTATGTATACTTTATCTAAAGTATATGTATACATATACTTTGAACTGAGGTTGCTCCTTATGGCATAGAGTCAGAAGTGCAAAAGTGGGCTTCATAGTGTCGTGTCATGTGGAGATGTATTTATATGTATGTGCTTCATGCAGGGAACCAAGAACCTACAGTCTTACTGGGCTCCAAGAAGAGTCCAAAAGACCTTGAAATATTGAATACATTCTCTATCTTCTCATTAGAGCAAACCTGTCTAAGTACCTCTAGATGCAGAATAAGCTTGTGATCTAAAATATAGTGTGCTTTGTAAGAAGAATTTTAAAAGGTAGATTCTGAAAAGAAAATGCTGTGATGTATCAAAAAATGAAATATGAATCAGTTGTCAATGAATAATCACCATAGATTCCCAAACATTCAAACATAGCAAAAATATTTGAAGAGTAAGAAAGTAGACCAGAGCAAAGAAATTTATTGTAGCATGAAAGAGAAAAAAGAGAAGAAATAGGGAAATGGTAGAAAAATTAATGCCAATAGCCTTTAAGTTCATTTCTTAAAATAAGAATTAAGACATGGAGTTTTAGTTTGTGAACTTCTTCTATTTTGTATTTTACTTCTTTTTTGTATTTTATTTTTGTTAGCAGGTAGATTTCAAACCTCTCACTTCCGTGTTTGCAAAATGGAGCTGGTAATATTTTTCACCCTCTTATTTAACACATTGGCTATATAAAATCACTTTGTTTTTGTAATTTCACATCATATTGCCTAACCCTGAATCATTATTGCTGTGGAATAGTAGAGATCAAATTTTAGTTCCCACCATGCATTTCCAACAATTTATGTATTCATCCATTGATTCAACAAACATATATTGCAGGTATCAGATCTGCAAATGATACCATAGTCTTTGAGACAAAAGATTTATTGCATAGAAGATTGAGACAAACAGAAAGCCTGAGGTTGTGCAGTATAATAGGCACATTATGCATGCATCACCTATGTAGTATAATAGACATATTATGAGAGAGAAAGAGAAAGAGAGAGAGAGAGAGAAGGTGAAGCTACTTTAAATAGAGTTGATAAGGGAAGGAACCTCTCCAGGGTGGTATCTCAGCAACTAGTTAAAGAATAACCTGGAGCAGACTCCATGAAGAAGAAGCATCGCAAACAGGTGTTGGTGGTACAAAAGTCCACAGACAATGTTCTGTTCCCCCACTCTGGCTCTGGTGAATTCTCTCACCCTCTGGCGCTTCTGACTGTACCCAGTGCTTGTATAAATAAATAAATAAATCTCTCTAAAAAAAAAAAAAAGTCCACAGGCAAGAAAGAGCTTGTCTGGTTCAAGACCTTGTCTGGGGGCCTCCCTGGTGGCGCAAGGGGTTAAGACACAGCCTATGAAGCTGTCAGCAGCCACTGCAGCATGAGTTCAATCCCAGGCCAGGGAGCTACCCACATAGTGCCACAGACCTCTCCTGACTCACCTGCTGCTCCCCTCAGCAGTGTATTTTGGTCAGTCTGGCTGTTCTGTTCCCCACCCTGTCTCTGGTGAATCCTCTTACCCTCCACACCTCTGGCCTGTACCCCAGTTCTTGTATGCATAAATAAATAAATCTTTTTAAAAAGAAGAGCTTGTCTGGTTCAAGAGCTTGTCTTGAACAGAAAGGGAGCAACATAGGTGGCCGCTTTGGCATGAATAAACTGAGAATGGAGTCAAATCAGCAGGTGGATGTCAGGTCGTGCAGAACTCTGTAGCCCATTGTAAGGGTTTAATTTTCTTCCAAGTCTGAAGGGGGAGGTTAGAAAGTTTTGACCCAGGAAATAATGTTACGTAGTTCACATTTCTAAAATGATCACTTTGTGTTCACAAAGGCTAGAGTGTAGAAGGATGGAATCAGGGTTAGAGGGAGTGGAAATAGAAATGTTTACAGACTCAGATCTAATTTCTTATCCAGGGCCAGATATCCAATTCCCCACCTTACCCCATTTTAAAAGTTTTTATTAAGATGTAATTCATGTACCACACAAATGACCCATTTGATGTGTATGATTTAATGGGTTTTTGCATATTGCAGAGTTGTGAAACCATCATCATAATCTAATCTACGACATTACATCACCCCCAAAAGGAATCTTCTACCCATCAACAATGAGTCCCCGATCTCCTTACATGCAACTCTACCCCAGGCAATCACTAATCTACTTTTGTTTTCCACAAATGTGGCTATTCTGGACATTTCATCTAAATGAATCCTACAAGGTGTGGTTTTTGTGAATGAAATCTTTCAAATTAGTATAATGTTTACAAATATCAGTATGCCAGTTCTTCATTGCTTTTGATTTCCAAGTAATATTTTGTTCTATCACAATATCTTATTTATCTGGTAATCAATTGATGGAGATATATGTAGTTTTCCTTTTAGGGAAAGTTATTGTGAAAAATACTGCTTGAAAAGTTTTAGACAAAGTTTTTAGATGTCTTCACTGCTATTCATTCCCTAACAATGTAATCCCTGAGACTCTGTTTTAATATTTTGTGCAGTTGCCAGAGTGTTTTTCAAAGCATTTACTGTTTCACACAAAATGTGTAAGAGTTCCCATTTCCCTATATCCTCTGCAATGTGTGTGTGTGTGTGTGTTTATTACAATCATTAGTGTGGGTAGGAAATGGTATCTCATTGTAGTTTTGATTTCATTTCCTTAATTTAATGGTTAATATGTTGAATACCCATCATGCATTTATTACACATTTGTATATTTTCTCAGAGAAATATCTATACAAATCCTTCATCCATTTTTAATTGGTTGATTTATCTTTCTATTGAGTTGTAATTGTCCTTTATATATTCTGATATACATCCACTATCTGATAAATAATTTGCAAATATTTTTCCCAATTTAATTTCTCTCTTTTCATTATTGCAATAGTATTGTTTGCAAAACAAAAGATTTTAATTTTGGTGCTCTATTTTTTACTTTATCATCTAAGCTTTTGGTGTCACATCAAAAAACTATGACTTAAAACACAGTCACAAAGATTTAAGCCTATGTTTCTTTTAAAGTTTCTCTAGTTTTAGCTCTTACATTTAGGTCTATGATCCATTTTGAGTGATTTTTTTTTTTTTTGGTATAGTGTGAAAAAGTTATCCAAATTCATTCTTCTACATCTAAATCTAAAATATTTAGTTGTGCTGACAACATTCATTGAAAATATTATCTCCCTGCCACACACTAGTGAATTGTCTTATTTAATTACTCTTATTGAAAAAAATGACAATTCATATAAGGATTTATTTCTACATTCTCAATTCTTTTCCTCTGGTTTGTACAACTATCTTCATGCCAGTATTTTGCTGTCATGTAACTTTTGAAATCAGGCATTGTAAGAGCTCCAAATTTGTTCTTTGTCAAGTGTTTACCTTTTCTGGGTATTTTTTCTTTCATATGAATTGTGGGATTAGCTTGCCAACTTTTTCAAAACTGGCAGCTGGGATTTTTTTTAGTAATCACATTACTTACATTACTTAAAAGCCCTACTTTAGTTTGGGGAGTATTTCCATCTTCATATTAAACTTCTAATCCACAAACTTGGGCTATCTTTTCAATTATCTAAATCTTCTTTAACTTCAATGTTTTATAATTTTCAGTGTACAATTTTGCACTTCAGTTCTTAAATCTATTTCCAATTGTTTTATTCTTTTTCATGCATTTGTTAATGAAGTTGTTTTCTTAATTTTATTTTTAGAATTGTTCATTGTTCCTACATAGTGACACTATTGTTATTCATCTATTGTTATTGTTACCTATGAACTTAGCGAATTTGATTACCCATTTTAAAAGAATTTTAGTGGATTATGTAGGATTTTTTTATATACAATTTGCTATCATCTACAAACACTGAGGATTTTAGTTCTGTCTTTCCAATCTGATACCTTTTATTTGTCTTTTGTCTCTCCTGAGTGTCCAGGTTAGAACACATAATAAAATGTCTAATAGAAATGGCTACAATGGACATCGTTGTTTTGTTCCTGAACTTAGGAAAAAAATGTTTCAGACTTTTAGCTGCAGGTTTTCTATAGGTGCCCTTTATCAGGTTGAAGAAATCCCCTTCTATCCTTCATCTGGGGATTATAATGAATTTATAATATATTATAATGAATTTTCTCAAGTGCTTTTTCTGCATCTAATAACATGATCGCAAATTGGTTTTTCCTTTATCTTATTAATGATGTGTATTCTTTGATTGTCACTTCAGATGTTAAATCAAGCATGTATTACTGGGATAAATCTAACTTGACTCTTGTTAAAAATTCTTTTTTATGTTGCTGTATTTTTTCTAGGATTTTTGAATCTATATTCATAACAGATACAGTTCTATAGTTCTGTTTTCCTCTGATGCCTTCTTTTGCTGTCAGTGGAATATTGGTCTCATGTTTGCTAGAAATCACCAGGGATGACATCTTGGGTTTGGATATTCTTTGTATGAAGTTTTCTGAGTACTAATTCTATCTCTTCACTTACTGCTAAGTCCACTTAGATTTTCTATTTCTTCTTTATTTAGTTTAGTTGTAGGTAGTTAGTAGATTTCTATGAATTTTCCATTTTATTGTGCTTCCCTTTATTAGTTAAGAATACTTAAGAACCAGGATTAAAATAATTCTCTCCCTGGCTTATTTTTTTATTATTTGAAAAGAAAATAAAAGTGAGTTTGACAGTTTTGTTTTGTTTTTTAATCACGGAACACCACACCCACTTATGAGTTAAATGAAACCCTATAACCATAAATGTTTGGCTTTATTTGCACAAACAGAGTGCTAATGGCCTATTTTAATGAGGAGGGAAATTCTGTCATTTCAGTAACAGTGTCATAGGGTTAACAATTGCTGTCCAAAATCTCTACCTGTGTGAACATGACGCTTTGTTGCTTATAACCTTAATAAATCACATCTAATAATATTTTCTAAGAAGAAATCATCCTTTATAATGTGAAACAACAGATGTGCTAGATTCTTTATCATACATTATTTAAGCAAAGTTATAAATATCCTAAGAAAAACTTTCCTTGCCATTGCTCCAGCATTTGATGCTATCAAACACAATGTCATTTTCTTTAGAATATAATTTGGTTTCATGAAACAAACAAAACTCTACATGTATTATTAAAATTTAAGGATCTCTGAAATTCTGCTCCTAACATAAATTAATCTCAGACTTTCATTCATTCATCTAGATGTGTTGAGTGTGTTCCCTTTGCTACCCAGTGGGAGTGAATTCCTCAAACACACCAAACTCTGATTCTTACAAGACTGACTTTATCAGGCAATTATCTCAGTCTGGAACTTTCCCTAACCCTACTTCCTATGTTGGATTTCCCTAAACTTGTTCAAGGTCCTTTTTTTTATTTTTTTCAGTTCTGTATCACTTCTGAAAGCTTTCTCTGACTCCCTGAGAGCTAGGTTCTCTTGAAATACTCTCATTGAATGCCTTAGAATGACACACACTATTTTGTAATCCCTCTTTCTCATATGTATTCTACATTAGACTCAAAGTCTTTCAAGAAGACAAAGATCTGGGACTAGGACTGTTTTCTTCTCTACTATATATCCAGGTGTTTTCAATAAATAGCTATTACATAAGGGAATAAGAGTGAATATATTGTATATGGCACTGTGGTAAATATTAAAAGTAACCAGACTATGTGGAACATTAAACTCAACTATATTTATTACAGGTGTGCATATTTGAAAAGGCATCTTATGATGAAGAAAAGAGCATTTTAAAGAACAATATAATCACAATTTTGTCACATTGTTGACAAGCTTTAATTTTTTCTAAGTAACAAAATTTACTATCTACCTTAAGAATGGAAATAATTGAGGAAAATGTGTAAGTACATTACATTGTATATATCCATTTTCTGGAAGCAAAACTACACGTGAAAAGTATATTAATAAAATGTGTCCTTCATGTACTTAGGATAGTTAAGGAATCAAATCTACTGTAGAGAGTGCTGTATATTCTAGATATGAATTATACAAGTCAATTAACAGTTTATAAAATTTTACAAAATTCCCCCAAGTTGCAATTTAAAAGTTTCCAGCTTTAAAGCAGTTGGGGGCTTATGGAATATTCCAGACAGAAAATGGGAAGCAGAAATGAATGTCTGTTACCTGTCCAGGGTGCAGGCATACATCTTGGTGGCTTTCTCATTCACAAGATAAGTTCTTTCAAGAAACTCCATGCTGGCCACAATAAGACCTTTTGCTGCTATTGATGCTGCTGTTTGTTTATTTGTTGTTTGTTGCTGCTGCAGCTACTAATCAACTCACTGTCCAGTTTTGAAAGCAAAGCAACACTGCAATTATCCACACATTTTTCAAAGAAAAAATAAAAAGGCTTCCTGGACTTAAAACAAGCCTCCTACATCAACATTCTGCTCAAATTATAGCCTCCTTGGAATATCATTTGGCCTCATTTTCTCACCCACAGAAACTCCTTTCCTAGGGAGACTGCAGATAGGATCATATCAAATGAAGTGTGTGTATGTGTATGTGTGTGTGTGTGTGTGCACACTCCCCATGCTATCTGATTCCACTGTGCTTTCTAAAAGGCAGAGGGAAGGTTTCCTACTAATTGCTGTGGTAGAGATTTAGTCATCAGAGCACACCTGGATGAACTGCAAACAGTCACTCTTTTGTACACTAATCTCTGTTTTTTCATTCTCTTTTTTTTTAATGGGGGCGGGGGGGGGGGGGGTGTCTCTCTCTCTCTCTCTCTCTCTCTCTCTCTCCTCTCTTTCTCTCTCTCTCTTCTCTCTCTCTCTCCTTGAAGGCATTTCTCCTGGGATCTAGCTCTAAGATGACCTTTCAGCAGCTGTCAGCATTTACTTCTCCTCTCATAGGACCATTTGGGGATTTCTCTACTGAAGGGAGGACATGGGTCATTAGTTGCTCTGAAGTCTGTAATCTGAAACAGTTTCTGGTGCGGCAGCTTTGAAGCCCTTTAGACAGGCAGAAGGGCAGGCTTAGATTCTAAATAAATAACAGCCTTGGATCATAAAAGAACCAGAATGATCTGTGTTCTCCCTGCCAGGATCCTCTCTGCTGAGTATAGAATGTTCACCTAAGGAAACCTTGTCATAACTCTCAGGAAAACAGTCTTCTGTGTTGTTCCGGGAGGACTTCAGCCCTCAAACTGCTAGAATTTGATATGTATTCACGACAAAACACTTTTTTTCCCAATTAATGATGGGACTACCCCTCAAGGGCAACAGCAGTCAGTGGCAGGCCTTTGCTTTGGGCCAGAGTACCCAAAACCTATACAGATGCATACAAGGGCGAGGATCCCAGGGCAGAGAGGAGAGGGCATAAGCCCTTGAACTTGGAGCTCCCATTTCCTCTTCCTTCTAGTAACTTCCAATAAGAAAAGGCAAAAGAGTGTAGTCCCAGATTAGCCCAATGGCTCTTGGGTAGTTGTCCATTCCCCAGAATGGCCTAATAACATTAATAGTCGCCAAGAAAGAAGGGGATTCAGTAGCAGTTGCAGAAGGCAGGCAGGGGAAAGTGATCACATCTGTGGTAAAGTTGTACCTTTTATTTATCCTGAGATTTCAGAACTCTCTTCTAGAACATAAATTATAAGGTTGCTTCATAGGGCACACCATTGCCTAACCAATTGTTAACTTTACTCTGACAGATGGGAACTGAGACAATGGCTCTGGGAGGCCATTTTTTCTTTGCAAGGGAAAAACTGGGATTTAGTTTTAGCAGAATAAACCAAAGTATTTGCTTCTCTTATAATCTTGCTCTTAATGTTGCAATATAATAGGCTCTTTTATGGAGACAAAAGTTAGGACCCATCCATGCAACACATTGTCACACCTTGCCCTGGAGCCACTGGTGAGCCATCTGGAGCACGTGAGAGAAATAGTATCAAAGTGAATAAATGTCAAAAAGTGAGGAAACTATTTAAAATCAGGCTAAAACCTAGTAAGGATAAATGCAGAGAAGATGGGAGCCATGTTAAAAAAAAATGGAGTGTCTGTATTTCATCAGGAAACTTGAGATTCTGCACCCTGGGTTTGGTCGCCAGTGTGTACACAGATGTACACACACGTTTACAACTGCTGATGATTTGCAAGACTGGAGATACATACTAGATGGCTAATGTGAAATGTCTATGAGACAAGGAGAGGTCTGAGGGTACCTGAGAAGAGCAGAGTCCAACTGATATGGAACATGCCAAGGTGGAGGGGAAAAAAGTGAAAGGGAAAAGAAGGATTGGAGAACCCAAACAAAAAATGACAAGACAAAACCGTGTTCTATCAATTTCTCCTATTTTTTTCTAATTGAACCATATCAAATTGTCATTTCTGTAGGGCCAATAGGGTAGATATATTGATTCAACTATGCTTCAAGCTAAGTATATACACCCACATACATATACACACCGATAAAATGTCGATGTGCTCTTGTATGATATATTTAAAAATAAAAAAATTGGAAGTGTATATTTTTATAATATTGGGTATTTGGTGCTATTTTTATCAAAGGTTTGTGAGTTCATAGAGTTCTCCTTAAAGATAACGACAGAAAACAAAGCTTCTGGTGTAAAGAGGAAGCATTATGGATTGCAGCAAGTAAAATTTTGATGTTTAAAAAAAAAAGTTTTGCCAAAATTAACAGGAAACTATAAATCAGAGACATTCTGCAGGGGAGGGCGAGGGAGAGGGATCAAAACAGGGGCTGGAAGAGCACAAGGGACTACAGTGATGGGTCACGGGTGAACTAGTGGTGGGAATTCTGTGGGGACTACACCTGAGACAAGAAAGCAAACATTGTACAAAAATGAACAATGTTGTAAAATATATATAAATAAATTACATATGAAAAAGTTTTACTAAAAATTCAGCTGTAGATCAGTTGTGATCAAGAGTGTTAGGTCTTGTGAAATACTCATCTATTGATCATTTTATCCTTCTACAAGCTCATTTTAACTGCACTATCATTCCTCCTCCAATAGTCAGCAGAATATTTATGAAAATTTTCTCAGCCTCCCAGACTGACCTTTGATCCAGTTTAGCAAGCCCTGACCACCAAGGGCCAGGGGCCCTAGTCAGACCCCACGAGAGTCACAAAATATGTCTTCAGAAAGCAATGTGGATTTAAAAATTAAATCTCTTCTCTTGTTGACAGACGGTTTTGGTGGCATTGTGCTACTAGTCCCAGTTTCCTAGGCAACCAACATCCAAACCATCCTGAATTACAGGTTGTCCTATCCGCCTACTCTCTATCACAAGCTTGTAGCAACTGAAGGGGCAAAATGTAATTTATAGCAGTTATCTCTGGGAATAAATATTCTGTCAGCACAAGAACATCACTGACACAGCCAAAGAACTGGTTCAGCATCCCAGGGCTAGCTGTTGTCAGCAACAATTTCTTAATAGGTTTTTACAAACAGTAGCTAATATTTGAGCAAAAACAATTACACAGGTGTCTCACACATTACTGGCATTCCATTTGCAGAAAGGATGCAGAAAACCACTGTGGACAACTAAAGCACAGAGTTTTCAAAATTTGCATTCCCCAAATGTAAACTTCTACTTCAGAAACCCCATGTTGCAGCTATTTGCATGTCACTACTTTTAAAGAGTGAGAGAGAGATGACAATGTGCTTTTTTTAAAATAATAAATGTGGGTTTTTATCCAGTTTGGCTCTTTGTGTTTATGTTGAGGTAATGGAAAGGAGTAGTTCAATGTGTGGGCTTTCAAATTTCATAGACTGAGGTTCCATTTCTGGTTCAACCACTTCCTTAAGTCTGGTACATGAACGAGGCACCTGACTTCTGTGTTTTCGGTTTCTCATCTGTAAAATGGAAGCCTTCATAAACTCTTATCTTTTTCAATTATGAGAATAAAAAAGATGTGTATCAAGGGTCTTGGCATTATCCAGCATTTAGCATGCTCTACAGAAGTCTGAGTCACTGCACTTGGTCCAAGTAGGATGTCTTGATTGTCCTGAGACACTGGCTGAGAATTAACAGAAATCTAAGAACTACTGATGAATGGAAAGATCCATCAGAGAAATACAGGTTATTGGAAAGAAACCCCAAGGATTTGATCTGCCATCAGTTGTGTGACTTGGGCACATCCCTTATACTCTGGGTACATCCCATATACTCAACTTTATCAAGCAATAGATTTGTGCCTGCCTGACCCTCCCCACTTAGCAGCAGAGTGCCATTCCCAGTGTGTCCTGAATAAAGAGTACACAACTGCAGAAGAATTGCAAACACAACCAGTATAATCACCTACTAAAGATTCTGGGCTTGTGTATTCCCAGAGACTCTGCAGATATTATTTCTAAGTTGGGTAGCATTTCCTTGCAAGGTGGTTTTATGGTTATTACTATAGTGTGACTTTTTTCCAAAGTTCCCTCTAGAAACAAGACAAAGATATTGGAAAATTAATTGGATTGCATTTTAAGAACATTGTAATAATTTCATTTTAATCTAAACATGTATCAAACCATTTCCTAATATTTCATACTTCTTGAAAATGGACTGAAAGTAATCTGAATTTTATTTTCTTCTTGATATATTGGGACTATACATCTCTTCCCTTTTCTTGCCATGTTCATTTTTTAAAAGCAGAACTCTAGAAATGCTCCACTACAGATGCAGTTTATTGAGAAAAGACTTGATAAAATATTGATACTAAAACAATAAAAGAAATATTTTAAGTTTGAGAGAGATAAATAAATAATACCAAAATAAAACAGCAAGTTTTGGCAGGAGGGGGGAGAGATTGGAGCTCGGTGGTTAAAATGCTTATGAAGTCCATGTTTTATTGGTTAGTCTCCATGTCCCACACTTCTTTTTCAATCACTCTGCAAGCTTAAACTTTTTAATCCTTAAATGCACCCTCTGAATTAGATATAGTTGACTGTGTCTTAAAAAGTCCAAAGCAGTGTTCTTCTGGTTTTACATTTTTACAATTTCTTCTTTTATTCACATTGAAATCATGACGTTAAAGCTTTCGAAAAGGCATGACCTTAAGACACTGGAAAATACAGGTAAACAAAAACATACTTTCTAACATTCCAGCTCCTTAGTCTATATGTGCACAAAACTTCACTAAAATCTAAAGCACTAAATTTCTGAATTAAAAAAGAAAAGAGAGCATTCTCTTGTTATTCTCTAGAATGCCACCATTTAATTTTCATGAGCACAGTTTACTTTCC